GGGGGGGGGGAGGGGGCGCGCAGACGTTCGGGGGACAAGTGGAAAATAAACCCCGACGAGAATCATGACATCGCGAACATACACACAACATTCCAACCGCCAAGGAAACGAGAATTATCAGTCACTCAATCGGGTTGGGGGGGCCAATCATTCACAGAACGGAAGGGGGAGAGAGAGAGAGAGAGGGGTATATTGTACACGTGTACTTGTCGTACGCGTCTTAATCGTGAAATGGCGGGTGAAGCATTTGTCGTTTTCTGCTCTTCCGCGATTGCGCTTCGACGATACAAGACGCGTCCAATGATGAGGGGCGCAATCGCCGAAGAGCAGAAAACGACAAATGCTTCACCCACCATTTCACAATAAAGACGACGTGTACAATATACTCTCCCCCCCCCCCCCCCCCCCCCCCCCCCTCTCTCTCTCTCTCTCTCTCTCTCTCTCTCGCGCGCGCGCGCGCGGTGGAAGATAACCCGAAGCTTTTCCGCTAACCGCCACAGAAATCGACACGTGTGCCTCTCTCTCTCTTCTCTCATCCGCTGCTGACGTGGACGCTCAGGATCGGTTAAGGTCATAGAGAGCAAGATCAGCGGAAGAAGCGAACCAGCAGGCGATTCAGGGGAGGAAGAGAATGAGTGGGAGACTCAGGCCGAAGAAGAGGAAGAGGAACCAAGGACGACGAGGAGGAGGAAAAGGACGAGGAGGACGAGGGGGGCAGGGGGGAGTAAAGAGGACAAGAAGACAGACTCCGCGTTCTTTGTCAGGAACGACAGAAAGAGAACGCGGAGAGGCGGACCCGATTGATTGGAATCCAATGGTTGAGCGCGGGAAATATTGTCAGAAATTTGAGGGAAAGTGTTGCGAGGAGAGGAGGGAGAAGAGAAATAGGTGGAACGTTGAAAGATCATCGGAGGAAAGGCAAACGGAAAGATGTACAATCCTGGGAACGCGGGAAAGGTTCAAAACGACAAAAAAGGACCGCAGGAGAGATAAAAACGACAAAATGGGACCGCGGGAACGATAAAAACGACAAAATAGGACCGCCGGAAAGATGAGAAACAGAGGGGAAAGAAAAGTCTCTCGGGGAGGGGGGGGGAGGGGGGGGGAGGGGGAAAGACCTCTCTGTGTCACCTTCGACTCTACAGACATCTTTTTCTCTTGGCAAACTAGATCATCGCGCATCATCGCGCAAACGCGTCAAACGCGCGCGCAAGTCCATATTCCGCAACCGATGGCTTTCTAAAATTAGTGGCAGTCTGCGTAATTATAAAGTGATATAAATAAATAATAAACTTGAAGTAATTAAAAGTAATATAGAGTGAAGAAGAAAAAAATAGGGAAAAAAGATACACGAGGGGAGAGAGAGAGAGAGAGAGAGACGGATCAAACGCATGGCGAGAATGATTTCGTGTGAATAGGTCAGCAATCCACCGAATAGAACGCATGGCGAGAAGATATCCCTATTTTTGCACTGTCATCCTCCGCAACGATTGCGCACACAGAGGCACACGTCACGTCAGCCTCCCCCGAATAGAACGCAGGGCCATTGCGATTCGATTTTGGATGGGCCGCTGCCAAGAAAGTGTCAGAACGAGGTGCTTCCGCCCTCCCCCCCAACAGAACACACGGTCATTACAGCTGTGTTTGGGGCAACTTTCCGTTTACATGCAGACATAAGTAATAACCGCGCGTTCTATTCGGGGAAAGACGGACGTGCACGCACAAAAAAAACGCGGGCCTTACGCGCACCCGCTCACGCGCGCGCGCGCGCGCGCGTGCATGGACAGCGACCGACACAACGATTACATACATATATCAGATTTCACATCTCCATACACATACGTGATTTTTACATATATATATATATCGTATATATATCATATATATATGTATACGTACATCGTCGATATATCGTATATATATTACATATATATATCGTCACAAACAGAACTGCCCGGTAAACCGTAGGCAGAGATATATGTATACGTATATCGTCAATATATAGTCAAACAGAGCTGCCCGGTAAACCGTACGCAGAGAGGGAGAAGGGAGAAGAGGACAACAAACGAGGGGCTATATATATCATCTATACACACGCATATACATATATCCATATGTACATAAGCATATATATATGACTAAATTTCCTATTCAGGCATGGATGAAATGTAAAGGGAAGAGAAGAGGAGAAACATCCAACTCGCAACAAACGATCACTTACCTATTCAGGCATGCATGGAGGACAGAAAACTCTGTCACACAGAAGAAGATAACACGGGCAGCGCAGATACCAGCCTGGCACCTCGGACGAAAACTTTCGTATTCATATTTCGAAAACTTTCCTATTTAGTTACGAGTACGACAATGTTTTCGTCATCTTCGGACACACACTGGAAAAAAAACACAGAACCAACTGATGACTAGTTAATTAACAACAAAATAAAAAAAAAGAATAATTAACAACAAAATAAAAAAACAATAATAACAACAAAAGAGAAAAAGAATAATTAACAACAAAATAGAAAAAGACTTATTCTATGTATTTTACAGTAATGAATACATAACAAAAGTAAATAAGTAAATTACCTAAAATATTGCTGTAATAATACATGATAAAATGCAATTAACAAAGGAACTTTAAAGGCTAAAAAGTCTGCGTCGTCTGACACACTGGTGGGATCTCGAACTGACCTCCTCTGACTCTGAGTCATCGTCTTCGCCCAGCAAATCTTCTTCATCTTCCATTTCCAAAGGCGCCAAATTGCCACCATCATCATCATCATCATCCTCATCCTCATCATCATCTTCATCCTCATCAACATCATTATTTTTCTCATGCTTATCCCTAATTTCACCTGCTGCCGGCTCAACGACAGGAGACATCTTACTTCCCCTTCCGTCCTGTTCCCGCCCAACACCACCACCACCACCACCCTCGTCTTCCTCCATGAATATCACTCCCGCCTTCACAGCAAGTGGGGGGTTTCCTTGCTCCCCATCTTCCTCCTTCTCGACTGCACACTTGACATGTGTCACCCTCTCTTTTGCATTAGGTAATAGCGTTTCCACCTCTTTCGTTTTCACTTGACACGACGACAGAGTTTCCAATTGACACGTGGCTTCTTCTTCGTCTCTCTCCTGCTTGCCGCCATCGCTTGGTGATGGCGGGCTGTTGTCTTCCTCGAGGCCATCGTTCGATTTCCCGCCGCCACGTGTCGGCACCACAGTTGCTGATGACTTCGATTTCCCCATCGTCCCCGCACAGGCGGCTGCTTCTACAACTCGACCCTCTGACAAGCTCCTCCCAGGAAGGACGTCAGGACCCGCATCAAGTTTTTGTGCGCCGCCGCCAGATTCCCCGCCAAATCCGCCGCTGCCTCCAGATTCCCCGCCTAATCCGCCGCCGCCAGATTCCCCGCCAAATCCGCCGCCACCACGTGGCGCGTCCCTGTCCGTGGATTTCTTCAGCTGCGGATCGGAAATCATCGGAGAAACACGGATGGGTTGAACGCGGCGCTTCGGCTTCAACGGAGTCGCACTCGACATTAATGGCGATGGCGATGGCGATGGCGACGGCGATGGCGGTCTGTCGCCGCCATAGCCAACAGCACATGGAACGTCTTTGTCCATAGCTTTTCCCGCGGCATCGCCGCCAGACCCATCATACACGTTTTTCCTATCGCCGTCGTCGGACTTCAGAGAGCGGCTCGCCCGCGCGCACTTGGCGCCAAAATCATCCTCATTTCCTTTTCCCTTCCCGCCATCGATTTTCCCACCATCACCCTTCGTTACAGTTTTTTCCTCTCTTCGTCCCTCTATTACCCCTACTACACTCGTCGGTCTCCCACTTCCGCCTCCCTCTCCTTCTCCTTCTCCTCCTCCTCCTCCCCCGTCGTCCTTCCCGCCATTGCTGTGGCTCCTAGTTGCTACTTCCACGTGGCCATCGCCGACCTTCGCCTCTCGGCCACGTGGCATGGCCTCCGCCAAATCCGCCATCTCTTCCTTCTGCCTAGACTCTACTCTCCCGTCCCAACGGGGAAAACCATGCACCTAACCCGAAGGTAAAACCAGATGAAGGGACGAGGGTTAGGGACAGGCAGAGGGACACTGGGAATGGGATGAACTTGTGCTGAGGCTGTCGTCGCAGAGGGGACGAAGAGGGTTAAGGGCCCTATAGGTAGGAGGAGGGGTAATGGTAAGAAGGGGTCCAGACAAATGGAAGAAAGGGAGGGGCGCGTGGAATCCGCAGAGAGAGAGAGAGAGAGAGAGAGAGAGAGAGGGGGGGNGGGAGGGGAGGAGGGGATGGCAGCAGAGGTGGGAAGAGGAGAAGGATGGAGGTAAGGCCCCTAAGCTGAAGACAGGCAGAAGTGGCAGGGGCCTGCTAAGCGATGCGGCAGGTGGCTAGAACCAAAGCTATGGATATCAACAAAGGTTGAAGTGAAAGTGGATTTTCAAATTTGCCATCATCATCTTAGGGCATACTCACACTACACCCTTTCCTTTTCAACTAACTTTTGAGTGGGCCGGTCACACATCGCCCGCAATCGCCTCAATCCACTTTCACCACCCCTCAAATGTAATAATTATGTGATGTAAGCAGCCTGGCGTGCCAAGGGAGCATTTTGAGGGCACCTGCCAAGATGCTCACAAACCCCTTCTTTATTTGGGTGGTGTCCAAACCTAGCCCACTCCACACATGGGAAGAGACCGAAAATAAAAGGGTCCGAAGGTGGGCACTGAAGATGGTTGGGTTCGGATCATGCACCTGGACACTATGGGGGCTAGATACACTGTCACTAGGACCTCTCTCTCTCTCTCTCTCTCTCTCTCTCTCTCTCTCTCTCTCTCTCTCTCTCTCTCTCTCTTTTTTTTCCGTATCATGCACCTGGACTCAAATGAGGATCGATACATTGTGACATGGACCCCTCTCTCTCTCTTTTTTTTTCTTTTTTTTTGGGTATCATGCACCTGGACTCAATTGAGGATAGATACATTGTGACATGGACCTCTCTCTCTCTCTCTCTCTCTCTCTCTCTCTCTCTCTCTCTCTCTCTCTGTGTGTGTGTGTGTGTGTGTGTGTGTGTGTAGGCTGGCTTACCATACCTCCGGCCCCAGGTCCCAAGTCTCATCTGGTGCCAAGAAAACGCACAAACACTTCAGTGGGCCCAAACAACAAAAATGCAAACAACAACACATCTACAAAGACATGGGAAAAAAACGGCCCATGTGGCTGAACAGTACACCTATGACCTGCTGATACCGGGGCTGGTCATCAAAGGCTTCCGTGCTTGAAAGGGAAAAATTTGCAACATGTCCTTGATAGTTGCATATGCTAAAATACCCCTAAAGGACTGGGTAGAGCAAAATACCCCTATGACATGGAAGTTTGTGAAATACCCTCGCCCCATCATCTTTGCAATATACACCTACTAGGTACCTGTCAACTGTACAAATGACCCCATGCCAGCAAACGTTTTTAAGGTCCTTTAATTATTTGATTTGCCCCTATCGATATCCTCGAGTTTTTGTTTTACCCCTCTAGCCCTGTCTCTTATACACATCTAGATGTGTATAAGAGACAGGTGTGTGTGTGTGTGTTGCGTGTGTGTGTGTGGTGTGTGTGTGTGTGTGTTGCACACTATTCGCAGGTGCGACATAGAGAGAGACAGAAAGAGGATTTGACTCATGAATCCGGTTTTGAGGAGAAGTGCAAAAAATTATCATTCATTTTGCACCTCTCCTCAAACACGTCCGGCTTCGGGCGTAAAATCTCAATGAGAGGGAGAGAGATGATTGGATGCATAAATCTGGACATGCTTGCAACAAGGCGTAGAAAGGAAGATTTTGCCCCTCTCCCCAAACAGGTCATTTCGAGGAGGGAAATCTTAGAGAAATAGAATTGGATTTTACACTTGAATCTGCACGTGCTTGAAGAAAGTTATAGAAAACGACGATTCTACACCTCTCCAAAACACATCTAAATTCCAACACGAAATACTCTTTCTCCCCTTTTCTCTCTCTCTCTC